CATTATGAAAGGCCATAATATTTACGGTTTTCATCAAAATTTGTTCTTAAAACCATTACAAAAGAAAACTAACTGTTTTTGCAATACACTCTAATTTTTTTCTTTGACCACTAAATACAATTTAAAATGATTTTCCGTTAAGTTTTCAAGCATTTCTGCTATATAGATATAAGTTTTCTATAGACATTTCAAGTCTTAACAAATATTTTTAATATTCAGTTATTAAGAAAACTACTTTAAAAATCAAAAAATGACTTTCTCAATCACCAACTATATCTAAAATACAACAAAAAAGGCCTCTTGTCGTTTTTTAATTGGAGCAATACTTCTAGTAGAAAACATAAAGCGTAAAAACCTAAAATCACAAAATCACCTGTCTAATGTACCAAATTGGTCAAAAATGCAACAAAAAAGTTTTTTTGTCATTTTTTCGATAAGAACAAAATTTTTGGTAAAAAAGTTGCTCAAACACGTCATAATAAAATCAAAATATCCTCGCTCCACTCCGAATCTAATATGATTTATATCTAATAATAATACTATCTTTAGCGCTTCTCCACGTGAATTTTCGTACACATTTTTATTCGCCTGGAAAATAATAACACATTACAGAAATCAAACATCTAACCGGGTCATTCCGGCAAGCCATTTGTCCATAATTCACCATTATCCACATGACATTTACGTGTTTTAAGGTGTCGCATTCGAGTTTAAACTAAACGACAATCGTATAATATTATGATTTATGTTCAATTAAATTTTTCACAAATAATATTTATGAGTTTAATGCATTTAAAATTTGGTACTTCACTAATAATGAATGAACACAACAAACAATATAACAATAGTAGGTACTAATAATGGCAACACATAAATCTTAAATTAGGTTGGTACCTACCTACTGAAAATATTGGTAAGTGTGACGTTTAAACTATTTTGTGAAACAAAATAGTATTTTATAAATAATAATAATATAAGTTTAACATTTAATGTGTATGACATTCTTGACTGACAACACGTACACGCACAGACACACACACAACACACACACACACACACACACACACACACACACACATACACCATACATCAGTAGTGTATGTGCAAAGCAGAAATATTATAAAATTAATTTTGTTCAAAAATCTATCCAAAGCTCGATAGTATAATAAATTTACTTTACCCGTGTACTTTTTGCTCAAAAACTAACGGCTGCAACGGCTGCACACGAGTTAAAGCATAATTAAATGTCATCGAAAAAGTCCAATAATAATAATATTAATAATAAAACCCGATTGGAGAGACATTGTTCTATATTACATTGTTAATCATTTGACCCAACCTTACCTGTTGTTAAGACGTGTATGGCTACAACACGATTGAGCAAAATTTACGCAATTGTATATATTTTAATAGCCATCGAAATACATACACGATTGCGCAAATTTTTCATAAATACACACGACGGCGCAAGATTTTAAATGCAACGTTGCCATGACGTATTAGTAATAGTATACGCGTTACCGACGATACGCAATTTATTATTCAAATTAACATTGAAAATATTTTAAGTACATATTATATATTTAACCTTCGGACCCATAAGGCAAAGTTCCATAAGAGATATGAAGTTTGACAGCTATGTACCAAGAGAGATATTCGTTTTACCATTAACAAATGAAATATTTCTGTATGCGATGTGTGATAATATAAAAACAGTACCTCGGTATAATTGACTTGAATAGAAACAATATTTCAAATAATCATAATATAACGTGTATTTTTCGCGTAATTCATGGCATGAACAGATATTTTGTGTTAATCAATAACAAATTTGCCATCTTTGTACAATATAAGTGGGGCATATCTCCGTCAAGCTTCCCATTTACACTAAAACTCTCTATTATACACGGACACGATTTCACGAATTCCTGTGAAACAAACATTCGAATCTATAAAACCGTGTACTTGAAATATCCGTACATTTTTATAAAGCAACAGTTTCTTTTTGAATCTATTATGTTTTTTTCGTTGTAATGCTGTCATAACGTGTATTCTTAATAACCTGAAATTTTCTCTGAAGACTTATATTCGTTCTCTTTAGACACAGTATAATTTCATAAAAATTCTGGCGCTGTTTAAGTTATTTACAGCTATCTGAAATTGTCACGTTTTTTTCAGTTTTATATAGATACAGTTTATTGACCTATCAAAAATAATATTTCACACAATGTTTGTAAATTGTACTTAGTATTAAAAAAATTAACAAAGTCGTATTTTTTAGGGTTTCGAATTCATATTCATGGTAAAATTCGTTTAAACAAAATAATTTTTTTAATTACAAATTAACGCAATAAAAATTTACCTAACCAATTTTAACCGAACTCTGCTTTAAATCATCTACAACAATCTGATGTACAATTTGTTATTTTTTTTTAAATTATGGTAACATTTTCAAATTTTGTTTTAATTTGGAGAAGAGAATTAGCACGTCCACACTCAGATACAAATTAGATGTATATAATAATGTGAGTGTGAAGTAAATCAAATGAACACAAATACACCACAGAATTTGTTGTTTTTATTGTTATTTTGTATTCGTAAAAGTCGTATAATATTGCGATTTTAATTTTTTAAACGAATCTCGCACGAAGTAAATTTTAGGCTTATGGGGGGGGGGGAGAGAATCGAAGAGAAAATGATTTATCTGCGTGGTAAAAATTATTTTTCGGACAAACCGACATGGTATAAAGAGCTAAACTATATTTATAATGTATACATAAATTTTATATGTATGTTATCGTGGGAAGAGACGTGGGGAAGAAACAACAAGTTTTATGTGATTTTGCTTAAGCGTACAACAACAGAAAATAGAAACTTCCCAGACGTTGCGACTATTTTTTTTTGGAAAAGTTTTACGATCACAGACTCGGTACCAGATGGATTATGCGCGCGTGTTCGTTTATACGGCCGAAACTTTATGTTTAATCAGCGGAAACAGTTAATTTCCTTATCCTCGTTCAACAACGTTAATCGCACGACGATCTCGTCCCGAAACGATTTTTCAACCGATGTGCTTCATTGGGTCATGACGCGCGTTCGCTGCGATGTATTTCATGAACCTTTGCGTTTCACGTGCGACGGACGTGCTGCTTCTGCAGGACAAAAGCGAAAACCCACGTAAAACGTCCGACGGTTGTGATGCGGCAGTGTATCCCGTTGGGGCTTTACCGATCCGAATCGTCATTACAACACCTATTGTACACAAATCCGACAACGTATTATAAAACTATTTCCCGACGGATATCTAATCGAGATTTGACATTGCAATACCCGTGTTATAATATAATAGCATTAACATGATTGTTTGAAGAACGATTAATAATAATTATTTGTCTACGCGAAATGATCAAACCACTGAAAATTATTCAAAGTATTCGGAAATTTACCGAGAGTTGTTTGACTGCAGCAGCAATGGATTTACTTTGCAAAGTCGTCAACTATATCGCCGCAGGCCTACAACAAGTCAAAAACTTCCATAACGACTTCACTAAAAATAGAAGGCGAGGTCTACTTTCAAAAAAAAAAAAACTTCAACGGACTTCCGTATAATTATCGACTTTATATTATTTATTAATTATACATAATTTTAACTCTTTTATTTTCTTTATAAAACGTATACATCCGTGACTATATTAAATGACAAAGTTTCGTCGACTATTAATTACTAGGTATTTTATGCTTTAAATTTAGTCCCGTTCATTATAAAGTTTATCGTGTTTAATGTTGTTGTTTTTTTTATTGATAGTGATGCACTTTGTGGGTTTTTAAATAAATCTATATATTTATCATTTTATTTTTTATTTTATGTATAATATTATTAAAGTTATTAAAATTAAACCCTTTCGGACCTAGCGTTCCGTGAGGACATTATTTTAAATTGTGTTTATTATCAATTAAAATTTGTTTATCTTATTAAAAGTACATGTCATATTATCCAAAGATAATGCAGTTTACAAAAATCATAAAATTAACAATACAACTCTTATTATGTTTTACCCTAATAACATCTATGAAAAATATTGATATGACATTTCTGATTGCCACTGATAATAGATGTGTAATTTACAGTTAAAAATATGGTTTTAAAAATCGGTTAACTTTAAAAAATTAACACTAAAATTAATACTGGTGATACAAATACAGCCGGTATGTATGTCTCCTATAAAGGACACCGGACGTTCATCACGTCAATTGTATCATTTTTTTTTTTTTTTTTTTTATACGTATAATATAGACTATTATGTTTTTACTATGACTATTGTTTTTTTTAAATATATAAATCATTTGACATAATTGTATGTGTACATTGCGCATTTGTCACTTTTATAATAAAATATATATTATTAAAGAACATAATATTATTGAACAACATAGCATCAATAAGGTAAGTATATTAATATTATACATCTATTCAATCTGATCAAAATATTGCCTATTTATTATAAGTCTTGTATCATTTTCAAATGGAGTAAAATTTCTGATAGAAAAGTCGCTCTCCAAACATGAGAAAAAATAATAATAATAAAACCAATATATTTTGAAAAGCTATTATATTATCAGACTTATGTTTCGTCACAGTAGTTATGGTAATTACTGTTATTAGTTTTGTATTATATCAATAATAATTATCGAATAAATGAAAAAATATACTCACGGAGTTCTAATTCATACAATTTTTTGACTGTTAAATAAAAATTTTAAATTTATATCCTACAATCATTCGTTACACAAAACAATTGAGTTTCCAAGTGTTGTAATAGAAATGAAAAAAGAAAAATGTAAGAGTATATATATATATATATATATATATATATATATGAAAAAATAAATCAAAATTTGGCTCTAACATAAATCCAACTGGTGTTGTAATCACTATATCCTAGACATGTTCCATGTTTTAAGACTTCATTAACAGTGGCTGAAACTACGCACGGTTGTTTTTACACGTATGACAAATCTAATGATAAACTCAAATCTTTGTGTAGATGTTTTAAAGCTTGACGTGTTTGGAAATTGTTATCTATCATCGCTTTTCCTTTTTCTAGCAATAGTAGGCATTTCAATGATGTCATTCTTAAAATATTTATCACATCTATTGCTGGTAAACCAGCTCTGTCAGATAAAGCCATGCCTTCAGCCAATCCTACAACAGGTACTGCTATGATCGTATTTAAAACCAAATTCATCTTAGTGGCTGACCCAATGTTGCCTAACTAAAATTAGTTTTTAATGGTGGCACAAAATACTGATTGACAATCATCAAATAATTCTCTATTTCCAGCAGCTATACATACTAAATTCCCAGATTCTGCTTCAGTTTTACTTCCTTGGATCATGACTTCAACATAACAACCGTGTTTTGCTGTAACAGCCTCATTAATTAATTTTATTAAATAACAAAACAAACAAATATTTTATATTGAAATTTAAAATTAAATCACAAGAATTATAAAATAACCAAGTTGTCATTTGTACAGAAATAATGTTTTAAAACAAGAACTGTAAGTTGCATTTTTGCAAACCAAATCTTTCAGTTACATTTTCGACAAATTTTGTATCGTGATGAAATTGTTTTCCTATGAACACTAAGCATCCACAGTCCAGCCAACCAATGTTCTTCCATTGTACTCCTAGTCCAAGTTGTTACACGTCTTAAAGTGCTAAATGATTTCTCTATCGCACATGTTGTAGGTGAATCATTAAAAAAATAACTAAACATTTGTTTGCTTTAGAAAAAAAATCGCTTTTATTTTTAATGGGTTTACCATAATAGCGAAAAAAAATAGCCGCGAACGTCAAAATCATGAATTAATTATAGCGAAAACAAAAATAGGTAGCGAATTATAAAATAATCAACTATGCATAATAGCGAAACTTAAATTACAAATTTTACTACTAATAATAATAAAAACTTTGTAAAAGGTGAAGCATATAATTTGTCACTAAATACTTAATTGGTTTTTTTTTTTAATTAATACCATCAATAAATACCCAAATTATTAACACCTAAATACCTAATGAACTTAACGACTTTATGATTATAATGACCGTATAGAAAAAATATACTTTTTTTTTAAATATCGCTATTTTTATTTTTACTACATGTTATTAATTCGCAATTTTCACATTCGTGGTTATTTTTTCGATATTTTGGTCGGAAATTGTATATATTTATATTTCCAATAACTATACCAAGCTAATCAGCATGGTGTTAAATTATCAATCTGAAAATGATTTTGAACTTCTTCAAGTATAATGTTGAATTATTTTTTGTCAATTCGAATCATTTTATATGGATTAAATACATTTAACTTAAATGGAGTTTGAAATGTGCTTCTACTGAATTCATTCTCGAGTCTAAGTACATATTCTGTAGTAATCATATGGAGTACTGTCGTAAATCAGAATGAATTCGATGAATTTGACGATCATATCGTCTAGGTATATTAACTTGGTATATTATATTATATTGGTATATCAATACTAAACTTTTTAACTACATTTTTTTATTGTTATATATTTTAAGAAAACTTTCAGCACTGGAATTCCTGTGATTTTTCAAAACTTTGATGAGATCGTAAGAATTTACCTTATGCCAATTCACAGGCACAGCTTGTAATTTAGCAACAACTTGTTCCACATTAGCAGAATAAACATTTAATTACAAGCTGACTAAAAACCCAATACTTGATGAAGCATGGGATAATTAAAAATCCCGATTTCTATAGTTATTTTATTTACAGTTTTATCAAGTGCTAATGAATCCAAAACTATCTATATTAACACAAGATATTTATTAAATAGTCTGGCAGATTAATATTTTTCTAACTACTGTATTTCGCAAAAATAAATAATATTAAAAATTAATTTTTGACGTAGAATATTTTTTTAGTAAACCTACACTTTTTTTCCTAATTGTCCATGGAAATTATGGTATGTAATATTATTGTATACCAAAATGTGATCATAAATCAATTAAATTGTGTTTTCGGTAAAACTAAAAATGTATGAGAAAGTTAATTTCTTATTTTACTTAATTTAGCAACTATGTTTAATATTTACTAACGATAATCCATAACGTATATGCATACGTTTTTACATTTTAATCGAAAACGAATGTTTTAAAATAATATTGTTGTGTGGTGGCCTATTATAAATACTTTTGCTTATAATTTAAACGTCTCGAAGTGTGCGTTTCAGTTACTATAGTAATATAAAATGTAATTTTCCTTACGTTGTATGTGTTATGGGAGATTTTCCAATATTTGTTTAGTATAATATATTTCAGCCAAACGGATAAATCCATATATTATTATATTTTATAGACGAAAACTAATATCTTGAGTTTCATAACGAATAAGTAGAGACTTTTCCACTTACAGCGCAATATTTTTCAGTATGAATTTCCAAAATGTGACTGAGAACTAAAGCTAGAAAAATACATTACAGCTAGGACTGTCATAAAATTCTACCTCTTGTATATAATATGTATTTCATTTTTATGGGATAAAGGGAACGGATCTTAAGAGAACTTGGTTTATTTTTTTTTCTTCGTTTTTATTGTATATACACTTATACTTACTTTAACACTAAATTGGTATACGATACGCTCGTAACAAAGAAAGTGAGAAAATTCGAAGTAATATGAACCGTATTAAGATAATTACAGGATTCACGTCTAGATTTTAGCAATTAGCGGTCTGGTGTTTCAAGAAACAACTCTGTACTATCAAAATATTCGGTTTTTATCACATTTTATAAGAAAATCAAAAAACTGTAGCATATATTAATATTTTTTATTTGTACCTATGTAAGATATTTTTTAATTTTGTTTCCCTTGTTTCCCTGTATCACCTATTATAAAAAGTTTAACATTTAAAAACCAAAAAAATAAAATAATAGTAAAACTTCTGAAATTAATATAGTATTTTAAATCTACTAATTTTACCGTAAAAAAACTCGTATTACGTCTTAAGCATAATATTTAATATACTCACTTCATGTAAATACAATTATTTGATATAATTGAAAAAAAAAATGGAAAAACAACGAAGTGTCTTCTATACGTAAATGTAATCATATACTTAGAATACATTATCCTGGAGAAACTCCCACCCCCTCCTCCACCAAAATAAAATACACTTTGCATTAAAATCCAGATCATATAGTTATAATGGATTTTTTGCGGAGGGGTTAAAGAAATACACGTTATTTCAAGTATTGAGCGATAATCAAGTGTTTTAGCTCAAATATTAACATACGGAATTCATCTGAGAACGATTTGGTATTTATTTTTCTCGTTTCATTTCCTGTTCATAATTTTTGGACGACTTAACATTATCGTTATGTTTTATGTTTATCGCGTGCATAATATTATATACCCGGCGGCGTGGAAAGAGGGTGTGTAAAGCCGTAAAGGACACAATGAGAAAGCAGTTTGCACATTTTTCGTTTACATAATAATATATCGTCGGACATTGGCGGTTCTTAACAATTCCCGAGGGAGAAGGGGCGAAAAATGTGTTCCTACAGTAAAGTGCAAAAAAAAAACATACACGTTTATGACGGTAGTAATAAATACTGCCGTAGGGCGAACGAGGTAACGTCTATTTTGTGACCACGTCACTATTTCCAGACGCCGGACAGTTTGAACGAACGCGACCGAGGGACAATAGGAACTAGAAATATTAGTGTAACCGTATTGATACCATCTATACTAGGAAAATAGCGTGATAACAATATTATGTATCGACCATAGCTATATATTATAATTATATATTTTTTTTAGAAAAACCCAGGGGGCGCGATCCACCTATCGCCCCCGTAAAACCGCCATCGCCAGTGTCGCCAGGTTATTTTGTAATTAAAAATCCGTTAAACCGTTCGATCCAAACAGTTAAAAATATCCTTGGAAAAATTGTATTCCGTTTAAGCGAGCGATATACGTGGTCGGCTGTCGATTCTTCTAACACTTGGGACAGATTTATTGGTACCTACTCGGGTATACTTGTGAATAATTCAAATGAATATCAATGTGCATTAACAAGTTTTCTTTTCAACATTAATTGCCGTCGTATGCTCTTAACGCGATAAAATCAATAGTACGAGAAGTAAAAATAATGATATTTCGTTCATGACGACATTGTGTTTTATAGCCCTATCGGGTAGCAGAAAATTAATAATTCTTTGTATCTAACACACAATATAATATTTTGATTACGAGTTAAGTCATATCAAACAAATAAAATTCGATAGATACTGCAATAATTACTTCTTACGAGAAAGCTACTGTTGTAGATGGGTAATTAAGAAGGTAGGATATAAGGGTAATTTACTTAATAGGTATACTGTAAGTAACACCAAATTATCGCAACCGAAAAAAAAACGATAATGAAGTTATATTAGTCGTGTTTTCCCTTCTTATAAAGCTAAACCAAAATCAAACAACAACAAAAAGGATATAGGGGTAAATTATTGATAATGTCAACGAATTTTCAAGTAAAGTACTATCAGTTAGGTGTCCGTGTGTGGTCATGGCGATAATAGTAACGATGTACCTGCATTTCGAGGGCATTGAGAAGATACTAGATAAAAAAGAGCTTAAAGAAGGGTTAGTTTGATTACGAGACGAAATTTGGTACTACAGTTTAATTTTTGTCAACTAATTATAAATATAATTTATTTCGGGACAACTCAATTAGCTCCTTATATAGAGAGCCGATATTTTACCCTTAAAAAGTACTTTTAAATCGGCCACCAAAAATGTATTATTAGTAGTACCACACAAAATTTCGTGATTTTTACGAGTTTTATTGAAATTTTAACTACGCTATATTCAGAATCTAAAAGAACCACAATGATATTTCTATTGCTGGACCTATCGTTATTGTTATTTTACGTCATCGAATACCTACTTTTTCACATTATAGACAGTATTCCTGCAGAGAGTCATATGCGTGCGCCATTTTAAATTGCAAGCATTAAAAACCGCCCTCATTTCTACCGCTCATACACAATAATCACAAGTAATTTGTGCGGTTTAAAAGTCCACAAAATATTAAGCTTAAAAACGAGAAAACTGCGATGGCATAGAGTGAACAAAACAATGGGCACGCGAAAGGACTGACCCCATTCAATTAGTGTAGAATTTCAATGGACATAATATTATAGGGGAACGCAGTTCACCCAGAATTAAAAAAAAAAAAAAACAATTTTACAAAAATTAAAACACCTCCAGAATTAATGGGTTGGTTTACTTAACGACAAACCGTTAAACTATAATAAAACAAGCACTAGAGTACCGCATATTGTAGTTATAGGTACAGCAACAGAAATA